TTTTTATCAACAGTCTATGGTGCAGAGTGAAAAACTTTGAAAAACAACATTTGTCTACAGTGACTATTTTAAAGTCAATGGTTTTCATAAAGTTAAACTGAAACTGCTTTATCATTCTCCACATTTGTGGCTTATATATAATTGACACGATCTTTAGAGCCAAGTTCACAGCTTTTCAAAATCAAGTGTAGTTCCACTCAGCCTAAAGCATTGCAGCAATAAAAAAAAGTTTGTCTTTTACTTTGAAGACAAATTGCCAATATTGTTACCATGACAGTGATCAGCATCTGTGTTGTTTGTGTGTTAAATCAAATGATCAAAATGAGGTTTAGCTGTGATTTTGACCAACAGTTTTAGTTGTTAACCATTGCTGTTTATCTGTGGACAGAGATGAAGAGATTTATAACCCAATCCACAGACTTAAAGGTACAGTGTGTAGAATTTAGTGGTATCTAGTGTTGAATTTGCATGTTGCAGCTGAATACCCTTCACCTCACCCTCCCCTTCTAAACATGAAAAATAACCTGTTGTAGCCTTCAGTTGTCATAAAAACTCAAAAGGTGTTTAGTTTGTCAAGTCTGGACTAATGTAAAAAACATGGCGGCCTCCATAGAGAGGACCCCCTTGATGTAAATGTAATGAATTTGAATATAAAGGGTCTTTTCTGGGGTAAAGAAAACTACAATTCATACAATTTAGATGAAATGAACTAGTGAAAATATCATGAGGATTATTCTTCATCAAATTTCTGCCAATAGATCCCTTTCACCTAAATCTTACAGACTGGACCTTTAAAGCTCACTGCTCCTACTGACAAAGCACTGGTCTCCTGTTTATTCAATTTATATGAAATTTGAATGTATCACATAACTAGATTAAACCAAATTTGACACTTCACTTCCCTCGGCCATTAACAATACGAAATGCCAAGTTTGAAGTGGATAAGTTGAATGGTTTGAAAGATATGCGTTCCACATACAGATGGACATTTGTGGGATTAGTAGGTATTGGCTTTCTTGTTCATTTGGAAGTCCAGTGTGCGACAGGATACACTGAGATTTCAATCCTCATCCCATTAAAAACTTGTCCCTCGTGGGGGTAATAAAGAAAAATCACTGGTTGGCCTCAGAGCTGCAGTGTCTGCAACATGCACTGGAAATGATCTGTTCAGTTTGAAATGTAAAGCACGTACACATGCTACACTCTTTTGTAACAAATGTTTTGTTTGGAAGAACCCTGGTAATGTCTGTAGGAGCGATCATTTTATAGAAGCTGAGATCCCAAAATAATAGAAATCACATCAAACTGGCTCTTAACCAGGTCAATCTAACCCCTTATTTGTTTTTCTTTTCTTTTCCGTTTTCATTTACCCACCTGTTGAGAGACCTGGCGCTGTCATCTCTGCTCAGGCATCGCTGTAATGACTTTTCTGATGAGGAGTACACATCCACCTCTCTCAGCACAAAACTATTCAGCACAATCAAGCTGATACTGCAGACAGAGAGAGAGCAGAACACTACACCCACCTGCTGGCAAATGCAGAAGGCCGTGCTCAACGATCAGCAAGAAGAGAGCGACTGTAACACACACAAACACTCCTTACTGTGAGTGTTTGTGCATTTATATAAGAAAGATTTTTTGGCCCCTGTGGTATCACTGTCTCCATGTATGTGTGTATGTGGCATCTTTAATGTGCACTGGGTTCAGCTGAATAATCAAAAACATTCAACAAGACAAACAACTCACCCGGGGAATGGTTTCCACTCACTGAATCCAAAACTTCTTATGGACATTAAGTGAAATGGATTTCAACTGATCTTGAAAAATTATAATGTATTTAATGAATTTTGTGATATCTAGTGTTGAAGTTGCATGTTGCAGCTAAGCACCCCTAACCTCACCCTCTCCTTCTAAACATGAAAAATAAATTTCAGATTTCATAAAAACTCAAAAGGTGTTTAATTTGTCCAGTCTGGACGAATGTAAAAAACATGGCGGCCTCCGTAGAGAGGACCGCCTTGATGTAAATATAAAGTATTTAAATGCAAAGGGCCTTTTCTGGGGTAAAGAAAACTACAATTCAAACAATTTAGATGACATGAACAAGTCAAAACATCATGAGGATTATTCTACATTAAATTTCTGCCAATAGATTCCTTTCACCTAAATCTTACACACTGGACCTTTAAGACAAAAACTCATTGACATACTGTATAAACAACATATAAAGCCTGCTGTAGTAATAACTAAATACTGCCACCTGCTGTTGTATTGATGACAAGACAAAACAGTGACTGAAACTAATACTAATAATTATTATTAATATTAGTTTTATTTGTATTGCACTTTTCTAAACAGAGTTACAAAATGCTCTCCGATCATATTTCTTAACTTACCTTAAGCTGACATCCAGCAGTGCAGAAATGGTTTGTATTTCCAATGTCAGTCTCTGAAACTTGTGCCACCACCTCAGTACAGAAAAAGATAATTAGATCCTGTGCGGGAAGTCTGAAACAGTCAAACTCTGCAGCAACATGTTGCAACAGCCAGGGTTAAAAAAAAAAATATATAAATAACAGTGAACTGATGCACTTATGATCTCTTACCAATTACTTCAATGCAATCAATATTGATGAGTCTTCTTTTCATGTAATACCTATGGTTTTATGATCCACAGACTTTATACACAGTTACATTACCTTTCCACACAGAAACACAAAGTCACAGACCAAAATAGAAAAATAACATTCATTTATTACTAAGAAATCCGGATTAAGAGCGGTCTGATGGGCCGGCCTAAAATAAAAAAAGAAGCAAAGCACCACAGATCAGCCCAGAACTACCCTAAACCAAGTTACAGAAATAAAGTCACAAAAACTGGACTACTGGAACCACCAGAGAAGGAAACCAAAATAAACAGAACACTTTGAGAAGTCTTGGTGTTCAGTCAGCTTCTGATGCAACCAGGAAGTTTGGATGTCATGAAACTTTGTAAATACTTTACAGACGTTACAGAAGGCACTATTAAAAGACATGCTGGTAAGTAGGAAAAGTGACAGACCCAGTCCACATTAAAATCAAAATCTGGCAAAGAGACTTCTGACTGATTGAAATCTATGCAGGAGCTCTAAACATGGTCCTGGAGGGCTTTCTCAATCCAAACTAGGTTTTAAGATACTGAGCATATTGACAGGACGAAGTCTGCTCCTCAGAACCTACTGAACCAGACCAACAACCTATGACCCCCATGATTTTGACCCAGAACGATCTCACTATCTCTTCGATTCTGCACTTCCAGCATGAAATATGTTTTCTGTTTTATTCTGTAATCTCAATTTGAGTATAATAATATCAGTGAAATATTTTACAATGTGTAAACCTCTGCCAATATTAAACTATTCCCCATGTTCAAATGATCAGCCCACTGCTCTGTGCCATGCAAATTCCTGCAGCAAATTCATATAATTCACACTGTGGTAGTATGTGACACCACTGAAGGCAATCAAATGCACATTTTTGGCAAATATTTCTAAATATGTTCTCATGTACAGATTTCCATAAAGGTTCAGTTACCTATAGATCAACAGTCTCAACAGTCAGCATTACTGTATCCAACTGCATTTGAAAATACAATAGTATTAATACCAAATTAATACCATAATCACAAAATGAGCACATATCGTCTTGAATATCAAAGCGGCCAAAGTATAAATACTTACTGTGATCTCATACCATTTGTGTCCAGAGGGAGGCAGTGTCGGTCTGCAGGGGAAAAACATGACTCAACAGTGTTGACCTGTGCTGACAATTATCTCATTCACAAAACCAATAACGCCTCAGTGCTGCACTGCCAAGGAGCATCAGCTGAAGTCAAGGGGATGAGACTCATAAAGAAGACACAGGGATCCAGTGTCACCACTTAATCTGATGGAGTCAGTCATACACGCTGCTGCATTTATTGTATCTCCATTAAGAAGTCATGTTCACAATAAATCAAGCAGGGTGAGTCTTTATGTTTTTTCCAATCAGTGATGGAATCAATTCCAGACAAATACCTATACCCTCCATTTTAATAATCACTCATATGTATCATTTACCAAAATCTTTACTTGAAACACTCTATATCTATACTCTAATCAGACATTACAATTTTGTGAGTATTTCTATCATGCGTTCTGTTTTGAAAGGATACATTGAATTAAAATAGGTTTACTTTTCATCAGCTCCTACTGTCCTGCAGATCTATTAGCTGCAATGTTTCCTAGAAGAAGTGGGATTCATTCACTGAGGTTTGGGTGCTGCAGGAGCTGAGGTTGCTGATTCAAACAAGAGATATTATTACTGCAGTCACTTGTTTCAGATCAAACTGCTCCCATTTTGTAGTCTCCAGAAATAAGAGTTATGGAAACATCAGGCCTATAAACTGTTATTGTTGTTTAACGGGTTTTTAAAGAAAGGAGATGTTACATTTTAAACAATCACATAAAGTTTAAATATATAAAGTCAGTTCACTATAAATGCGACCGCTGACAAGCTTCTTCTAACAGGAAGTGTTATAGTAACACTTGCCTATGGTAAAAATGAAACCTGACAATAAATCATTATTTTTTTTAGTCGTGTTCTTATATTTGACTCTTCAACAGCAGCCTCATCTGTTTATTTTACCATCTTTAAACTCCCATGTTCTCAGCTGTTCTCAGCTCATGTGCCAAGAAGAAAAGATGTTGTTATGGCCATATAAGATCTAGATTTGTCTCCATTGACTCTTTGTGTCCTGCTGAGTTAATAAACCTCTTCGCTGATGTTACAGAGATGTCGTGTGACAGGGGAACCAAAGAGGACGCGCTGCCTGTGGACAAAGTGTCCTGCACGTTCTTTATTTCCCATGTGAGCTGCCTCATGTCAAACTTGGCTTGATGTGACTCGGATGTGAGTACCAGGAGGGCGTGGCCGGTATAATCAAAGTAGCGGAGTTTTCCAGGGAGGGCCGTGCCTGCGCGTGTGCGCCTCCTGGCTGTGGGGGTGTCTGGTCGCGGACCCTCACACTCACGGACTCAGTGCGGGAGAAGCGGAGCAGAGCGCAGCGCTGCGCGTCGGACAGGAGGAGCTGGATAAAGCGCACCAGCGGCACGGCGCATGTATCCGCTCATTTTCTCCCCATTCTTGGTTTCCGCTGCGTCTCGTCTCGTCTGTATCGGATGCTGGGTGCAATCCATCCCCGCGTCAACAACACACCTCTGACGGACAAACCATGGACAGTCTAGGCAGCCGCTGTAAGATCGTGGTGGTGGGGGACACGCAGTGTGGGAAGACCGCTCTCCTGCACGTTTTTGCCAAGGACTGTTATCCAGAGGTGAGAAAAGTCAGCTTTGTTATCCCCTGGAGGAAGGAGAGAGTTTGTGAATGAGTGATGAGCCCCGTCATTAACATTTATTTTAATTTATTATTGTGCAGCTCAACTTCTGCACTTGTTCTGCAGGTTACATACACCTGCCCACAGCAAATAGGAGAGAGAGGAAGAAGGGAAATCTGAATAATAGTCCTGAAATGCCTCAGTTAACTTTTACTGTGTCTGTGTCTGCACATAAAACTTTAAGGCCTGTGCTACAGATTCTCTATATTTCTATAAAAAAAGGAATTTGCAGCAGCAGGTTTTCTGTGAAATGTCTGTGCCAGTGTTTCATTTGACAGCTGTGTCGAATCCTCTCCAGTTCAGAGACCTGTGGTTGTGCAAACACCAGATTAACCTGACCCTCTTAACTGGATAACTGAAATAAATGCCTTATTTTCAGAACTACGTCCCCACTGTGTTTGAAAACTACACGGCCAGCTTCGAGATAGACAAGCAGCGGATTGAGCTGAATATGTGGGACACGTCAGGTAAGACAATTTCACATCTCTGTCTGCAGCATCTCTTAAAAAGGCTCACATCAAACCCATCCACACTCCCATCCCTGCGGTGCCTTGTCCCTGTACAACCCAGACTGCATTCTTCCCTTCTCCAACTTGTCCAGCAATAATCTCTTAGACTATTTCCTCTGACCCACTCAGCTTCAGGTGAATGTCTTTTGTTTTTTATTTTTAGCTTGTGGCATCTGCTTTTTACGACTGTTGTCTTTGCCAGAAACTTCAGTGCCAGCCACGTCTCCCTCCTGTCTCCTGCGTTTGCATTCCACCCTGTGCTGTCCACTGTGTGTGGCTCAGTTCTTCTTCCCATGCTCTGGTCGCAGGGTCAGGCAACTGTGAGGGGGGGAGATGGGCGAGGGCGTGGATAATTCAGACAGGATGTGCCTGAGGGGAACAGTAACTGCCCTAACTGTTTAGGCATTTTAATCCAGAAAGACGAATGTATTGGGTTTGGAGATGAGACATGCTGTCTGCTTATCTGGTGAAGATTCCTCAACTCTGATATTAAGTTTCCTTATTCTTTTATTAGAGAATTATAATGTAAAGGGCGTAAAGTCTCTAGAGTTCACTCAGCTGGCCTCTAACCCTAAAATACATTAATTCATCAATTCATCAAAGTTTTTGAGATTCGTTTCAACTGGGTCCTTCTAGTAACTTGTTTCTGGGGTTTTCCACCCTGACTAGAATTCTTGAGGCATTAAAAACTTTAATTTAGGTTATAGTCTGAAGTGATCCCAGCGTAAAAACATTCTTATTCCATATAGAAAAGAATCCATGTCATGACAGGGGCTTTCCCTGGAAACACCCCTTTACTCTGTCTGGTCAGTGACCTTTGGCATGATTGAGCTTCAGTGTATAAATGTCTTGCTGAGGAAGTGTACTCTTAGCCAGCAGGCAGCGAGTATCATCAGTGAGACTCCTGCGCAAAAATCCCTGCTCTACTTTCTTCCCAGTCTTGTCAGTGTGGATGGATTTACTGGCTCTCAGCTAGTCTGAGACTCTGCTTCTTATGGCAGGCGTCTCAGGCCAGAGGCTCGTGCCAGCCATCAGATGTCAACATGGCCGACCAGTCTGAGGGCTGAATGTGGGAGAATTCCTCCTCTCGTGCATAAACATCCCCAAACCTAAAACGATCTTCCAGAAAAGAGATGATGGGAGTATTTTTATGTTGGCCGATGAAAGAATGTTGTTTTTACTCTGACCTCATGTTGACTCGGAGAGTAAATCAGCTCTGTCAGTCAGGGGGTCGGGGTCCTCCAGGGCTCAGGGCCATAGCAACTTAGAGGAGTTTCTTATCTCTGGGCTGTAGCAGCTTAATGATGCAGTGGGAATGTTTTGCTTCTGTCCATCTTTAAAAAGCCTAAACCACCTTTGGCAGTGTTAGCCTTTAATCTTCAGCCAGGAGCTGCCCACCCCCACAAACAAACATGACGTCACCCAACCCACAGGGCAAATGTGTGCGTGTTTGTTAAGCATGTGTGCTATTGTGTGTGTGTGTGTGTTCAGAGGACCTTGTAAGGTGAAGCATTATTCACAGATTCTCAACACAGATGTTCATATTTTCTCTCACCAAGAAAAATAATTGGCCCACGTTTAGATGAAAAAGCTTTAATCTGACGAAAACAGCATGTCTCCCAGCAATGCTCTTTGGGAGCCTGATTTTTTTGTTTTTGTTGCGTACCACCTCTCCCCCCTGTTTTCCTGTGCTTCTTTAACGTAATGTAGAAGCAGGAGCTTCACTTTAGTGCCTGTGCACTTAAGGCTAGTTCGCACAATCTTTGACAAGAGAGACATTTCTGACTGAGGCTACATCCATACTACTTTTTTTTCATTTGAAAATTGTGTTTTCAAGCCTCAACGATCTCTGTTTTAGTTCTGTACGGGTTTTAATCCTAATCATATCAACACACCTGAAAACGCAAGTCATCTATATTGTCCTACCAGTTCTACACTGGTAGCCGAGGCTAATGCCAGTTGTTTTCTTCTGGAAGGGATGGGAGTGTCTACGTCATCGTTTCCGAACATCTTCGTTTCCGTTCATCCAGACTAAAATGCTGAGCTGGAGTTTTCAAACTTAAACAGGGCTAGCTGCATTTCTAGACTTCCCTGTGTTAGCGGCTCTAAAACTCTTGAGCAGTGTGGACGGCCGGTGGGTCCACAGCAGAGTTGAATCATTTTCAAATCAAAACACTGTAGTATGGATGTAGCCTGATATCTGTGCATTTCAGGGGACTTGCTGCAGTCAGTGGCTTTACTCTGCAGATGGGGAGTAGATGTGTGACATGCTTTGGCATAGATTCAAGCCTCGGTAAAATTGGACCTGTGGATCCACTCTGTGAGGCCACTTGCAGACCATCTTGACAGTGCTGACCTTTTGAAGGGAACAGGGAAGCGGAATAGTCGCTGCGCGCCAAATGAGAAGTGATGCCAACAGAACTTTCCTCTTGGAGCAGCTCAACAAAACTATCCACCACCAGCTGAAACCATCGCCGGACCTGCCTATAGTATGTCAACCAGCTTCCAACACCAGCTATTTTCAGAGAATGTGCAAATGATATTCACAGTGTGACTGTCTGGTAGCGCAATTACCATCCACTTTGACTTGACAATTGCATCAGTCAATCCTCCACTTGTTGTTCCTATAAGCCACAAGCCATTCCAAACCAGATATACAGCTGTTATGTTTTTTGCAACAACAAAGCTTTCAGCCTCCTCTCATAAAGAATAGTCTCCTTTTTAATTGCTGGAGAAGTAAGCCTGCTGCGGTCTGGCTCCGTTCACAAAGCATTATTGATCGCTATCCGAGGCGAGGCTATTTAAACAGCTTGTGTCTCGCCTGGTTCACATTCATTTCTCCACCGTGGTTAGATGTGTATTGCTATTAAAAAAGCTCCCAGCATTCATTGTTGCTGCATGGAAATCTGCCATTGATTAGTTTGGTCTCATTAATTCCGATTCTTCCAGGAGGTGTGTGCCTTGCAGGCTGCGTGAGGTGTTCATTTATTTGAGATCATTACTGAATTCAAATCTGTGTCCTTGTGCACGTGCCTGTTTGCATTGCGTTCCCTGAACGAATGAGTATTTTAAGAAGCATTAAACAGAAACAGGGAAGTCTTATGGCTTCAGGGAACCAGAGGGCAACTTTCGGCTGCGCTTTGTATTCTGCCCTGCATTCAGTCCACACCATCTGGAGAATTAAGCCAATTACAAAGTGACTGAATGGAATTCAAATGAGAGAAACCACTGCATTCATCAGCATCTATGTTGTACAAATGAGCAGCCTCATAGTGATAGACAGTGAGGTCTGTTAATACATTGGAACAGGAAACATCAGTTTGTAGACTCTATATAAAGATGGATGACATGATGGCTCCCGAAAAGTTAAGCTAATTAATCTTGATGGCCCCTGGTGACTGGCCTAAGTATGATTCATAAACCCCTCCTCCTCCATGTTAGCAAATGGGGCATGGACCTAAATATTTCTTTTCAAAAGATGGTTTCTATCATTTTAGGTTCTTATCACATTGATGTGAGTGATTCTTTCCTGTAAGTTTGTTTTTAATTGGTTAGGGTTAAACATCATGATTGACAGCTGGGACTGACTCAGTCTCAGCTGTCAATCATGATGTTTATGTGTGTGTATTGGCGGAACCATAATACCCTGGACACCTCGGCTCCACCCCACGATCACTGCCATGCACACCCTGGTGCTAATTTACTTCAAAAGCACAAGATGGCAGGACTCATATCTGAGATATTTTAGTTTCATTAGCTTTAGTAAGAAGTTGAGACGCACTGTCCATCTTTCTAAACAGTCTATGGTATACACAGTATACTCACAGGCGTAGTGTGTGACACGGTTGTATTGTATACAGTTATGTCACAGAGATTGTCAGAGTTCAGCATCAGAGTATTTAAAGTGCCAGTTCCTATAGTTGTCAATGTGAACTTATACGATCACAGTAACAACAACTAAACAATTGCTGAGAGTCAGAGGTTGGTGATAACTTGTCTAAGGGCCATTAGTTATTACTGTCCATGCTCATGGGGCCCATTGCTAGTCAGCCAGTCGGGGGTTTTACAAAGCCTGAGGCACTGATGCACTCTTGCCCTCTTCCCAATATGGCCTGGGTGCCTGGGAACACTTTTCTCTGCTTTAGCCTCAGACTAATAACCCTCTAAGAAGTGTGTGCTGGCAGTTTCTTACAAATCCAAGTCAGGACTAGTTGGGTTTCCCCAAAGTTCACACCAGAGTACTTTCACTTCTCTGTCTGTTTCTCTGCTGCTTTACTAATGCCTGACCTGTGTCTCAGATGACAACTGGAACTCTTTCATTCTGTGTAGTCATGCTACAGAGAGGCAATCCGCAGGAATCTTGTTTTCCTCTCCGCCTTTTACTGACATCTTTGCACTAATCTCTCGTGCTGCGGTGCTTTTGCACTCGACTTCCCAGAAATCACTTGTCATTGAAACCACATGCTTATCACTTTTATCCTGAGAAGTTCTGTGGAGGGAGTTTGAGTTTTTCCGTCTGATCAGCTATTGCTTCACATTCTAACCGCCCGATTTTTCTCTCTCTATTTATTTCAAAACAAAGTGCTGTTTCTGCTGCTGGGAACATTAAACGCATCACTTGCGGAGCAGTGGAGGATTTTTCCTGCATTAGACTTGCCTGACACCGGCTGTTGAAAACAATAAATATAAAAGCTTTCATGACCTGGCTACAGCTTGAAGCAATATTCTTGCTGCACGATCACTTATAGGAAGCAGAACATTTTTTTGAGCAGCATCACAGATTATTTCAGTAAGAATCTCTTCAATCAGATCACCACTCAAATAAATTTTTGTCTTTAGGTTGTTTTGTGACTCGTATGTCATGACAGAGTTGAGATAACAAGATGCTGTGAATGTCGCCAGTGCCAGCACTCACACTCGGAATCGCAGCCCTGGGGCTCTCCCGCCTCTCGCACAGACTCTCTAACATTCCTGGTGTCTTTATGTTCTTTAAACTCCACATTCTTAGCCAATGGACCAGTAGGGCATCCAGAGGCCTGTAAAAACACACTGAGTTCAGTGGGCTTTCCGTTCCTCGACACGTTCCGCTTGATTAATTTTTAATAGAGGATGAGTGAACTACAACCATTACACAGAGCAGAAATAAAATCAACAGTCCCCCCTCCACCGCCTCTGCCCTCAAACCTACAGCCCGCTGGAGCCAGAGGATGCTCAGAAAGTGCAATCAGACCTGATCTGAGTATGTTGACCACAGGAGAAAATATTGTCTGCTCTCTGCTCTGTCTGTTTTTCTTTTTGGCTGTTCTGAATCCCTACTGTAATGTTAAACTGTGTTAAATTATTAAAAAAGCTACAACACTTCAAGAAATAGATGCTGTTCAGGTGGTTTCAACCTGCTGGAAAGGAAGTTACACATTCAACCACACAGTGTAAATACAACTTGTGTTTATTTTTGTCAGCCCCTTGGCAGGATGACGACATCGTTGCACCTGCTGTTCACAAGCCTGAATGTCTGCACCAAGCTGAGAACCCTGAGCATTGCTCTCGCTATTTTGCCTTACCGGCCCAGGGCAATAACTGACTAAACAAAACCGGTTTTGATGATGCGTAGCAGGCTGGAAAGCGCCCCCGCTTCACTGGTGGGAGATGACGCCTGCATGACAATTTTGGGCAATGAATAAACAGAAGAAGAAAGTTAAAAATAACAGTTTCTGTCCCACTGATATAATAAACACATACACTTAAGACATTTGGAAAGTCTCTGCTTATATGCACCAGTACATCCTTACATGTAATAAAGTAATGGTTCTTAAAAACTGCCAATTACACTTTCAAAGGGGGATTTCACACCTACCTTGTTGGGTCCAGACCCTCTGACTTTTCAGTTTAGTCTGAACCAAAATAAGTGGTGTGAAACGTTCCTCGGACCAGGGTCCGGACCAATGAACCAAAATCTTGTCCAAATAAAAGAGGTGGTCTCAGTCTGGATCAACATGAACCATGGTTTGGTTTGTTTGCTGAGTGAAAACATTTCTTTTGAATAGTTTGGACTTTGGGATCAATTGTAGGAAGTTGACACTAAATAAACATTAAGCAACAGAAGAGAAAGATGCGGAGGTGGCTTGCAGTATTGCTGGCTCTATTCGCCTTAGATGATACAATGTTTGATCTATGAGGACGTTCATTTTACTGGTAATAATATCTTCGGTAATATCTTCGATATTACACCGACCATGGAAATAATGATGGGTTCATCATTTTCTCCTTTCATACAGAAAGACTATGCTCTTTATCTTTAAACATTAGCTAATACAGTCCCTGAATTGACAACATGCATGCATGCCTACAAAAGTCTTTCGTCTGCTCCCTAAATTACAATGTGAAACCAAAACTGGTTGAAATGTAAACAATGTTACAAAGACATGAACCATGTTTCATACTTCCAGGTGTGAAAACATCCTCACAGCCCAAAGTGACACCTTCAGTTTTCTAATTCTCTCCGACCAACAGTCGAAAACCCCAAAGACACCCAGCATGTTGCCATGCCGACAGTGGCATTTAGCTCAAAGCACTGCTGTGCCTAAGTACAGCATCACAGAACCACTTGACTGAAGCCTTTAAGTCTAGAAGCATGAAAACACACGTCAGGAGTGACAGTGTGCATTGTGTTTGTGTTTTTATAAAAATTTATTGGATGTTTCCCTTTTCAATGTCGGTGGCTGAAGTGTGAGCACTGGAACCGCTGAGCACGGAGTAAAGCTTGTTGTAGTGCTCTTTGACTTTTGAATGGCATTTTCAGATTTTTGCAAGGGTTGGAAATAAACTTGTGCGTTTATGCCAACACTTCAATCTCCGTTCTTTGGCAGCAGGACCACAGAGAATATCATCCTGCCCCCTCCCCGACTCTTAGCCCTTGGCGTCAGATTTGAGATGAGCCCGTAGTAGCTTCTGCCCTGCAGGCAGACTGAGCCTGATAATCCCACAGATTACGGTCATTCGTTAGACCCACAAAGATGTTTTAGAAATCAAACAACGAATGCTGTGTGTGTTGAAGGGGATGAGCAGGGTTTGTCTGTCACTGTGTTGTAATTATACACATCTATAGGAGACTTTTGAACTGATCTTGATCTTGATGAGTGAGGTTAAAATTGTAAAACAGAATAATTTAAACCAATTTATACACTTATTCACTCCCTAATAGATGCAAAATACATATATTTTCTGAACAATAAATACTTTAGTGTAGATGGAAAGACCATTTGTTTTTCTTTAACAGCCACTGGGGAGCTGAGTCTTAATGTGCAGGTTTCCCATTAAGACAATATTTGAAATGTATTTTACAGCTAAACAAACATTATCGCTGCATTATAACACAAGAATGCATGTGACTAAAATGGCACCAGCAGTAACACATATGTATACCTAATGTGTATATATATATATATATATATATTTAGACATTAATGAACACATCCTTTATGTGTTAGGCATTTCCGTTCTCTACCTTTTCTCACTGCAAATGTTCTCTTTGTTCTAAACTCCTTGAATAATGGTGTTCTCGTGCATGGTGCTGCACTTGATCGCACCCCGACTCTCTGAGATGGGTTGTGAGAGCCGACAGTCCTTGCTGCTGGGCTGGATGTCCTGGTTCTTGAGCAGCCAAGCAGCTGTGCTCCATCCCTGGAGCTCAGCACTCTGTGACTCCTGTTCTCCTACTATTACACAAAGGGTCAATAAGCTGAATAAGAAATGGCTGCACATACGCCGCAGCGGCTATAAGAGAAAATGAAGAAACAAAGGAAACAGGAGTGCATAACATAACTTCTCTGGAGGTGGGTCGCCAGTTCTAGTCTGTGCTATCTTTTTATCCTCCACTCACTCTTTCCTGTCTCTGATAAGCCATTAGCCAAGGTGGCTGCTGGAGCTGCACTGAGGTCACCAGCATTCAGGGACAGTGCTAAGCAGGGGGTGAGTAGAAGTGCTGCATGAACGCCAGCCAGCCGCGCTGACAAGAACGCCCAGGCTGTAATTACCACAGAATATCTGCTCTCCTTAGTGACACGGTGAAACACACACACACACACTTGTAAAGACACCTATTCCCACACACAGTGCAGCCCGCCTGCAGCACACAGACATGCAGCCCCTGTTTGCCTCATTTTACATGGATACTAAACATCCTGAACAGCCCAAATGTCCACCCGCCCATAAAACAAGCACTTCTGGGAGGCCTCGGAGGATACAGCCCCACAGAGTTTGCGATCTCTTATCTCTATCAGGAGAGCCTATGAATGAAACCATGGATACAGCTATGAGCTGGGAGCCACCACACATTCCTTCACCACATCTCAGCCTCCATGTACTGTCAGCTTAATGCGGAGCAGCAGGCGAAAGTGTATAATCTGCTTAAATGGCATGTCCACTGCTGAGCAGCACTGCACACTGCAGATAGGCCGTATATGGCTTTTACTTTACTAGTTAATGTACCATTGGAATATTAGCGACTGAACGTTCTTTGGACAGAATTAAAAGCAGTCTTTTGGTACTTTGTAAAGAAAAGAGGATTTAAGGCCTTTGATGAGCTCACTGTGACTCAGATTACAAGCCTTGTTTTAAGACTTGCAATGTCGTGCTGCTCACACAGGAGAATTTAGCTTTTAAATTGACTGACGGGAAGAAAAAGAATAAAATGATGATTTGAACTGTTTTGTTTGCAACCTAAAAAGGCAACAGAAGTACAAAATTAGCAGTAGGGATGCACAATTCTGAGACTGTTACCATTGTTGGATATTTCAATTTTCATTTGATAGAAATGACACCATCTTCCTATTTTCTTTCAGTAATGACCTTTTAAACTGTGCCTTTGATTTATTCTTCAAAGTGTATTTTAAAATACAAAGACAACACACAGAAGAGGAAAAACTAAATGGAATTAAAAACAAAAAGTAAAGAGGTCAAAACCATACATCATCAATTCAGGTTTAATTCAAGTTAGCATTCGTCTTCATTACAGTACGTCTACAATCATGCCATACTTAAACTTATGCTATATCCAGGAGACAGTGTACAAACTAATTTGTGTTATGTATTGAAGTTAATGAAAAGCAAATCAGTGAGGTTTTAATCAGTGACAAAACTTAAGCTTAAGCTTCTTTCCACTGGTCAAAAAACTCCCCAACACATGCTAACATCTGGCTTTTCTCTGCAATGGAATAGACATTTACTGCCGGGTCAAATGACCTTCTTTGTCTTTTTTATTTTGAACATTTCTGTAATTATTGTGTTTTACATCTTGGAAATAATGTCCATGTGTTTATTTTCACAACTGGCAAGACAGCAAGGTTTCTGATGCGCTTCCAGAACGTTTTTGACGTCACCAGGGTAAAAAACACAGAGGCAAACTCCTCTGTGGATATTGGGAAAGGAGTCGTCCCCTTTCTTTTAGTGTTTAAAATACCTGCATATATACCCTCATTTTGGTGTAAAACAGGTATTTAAGGGGACATGTACAATTGGCCAAATGTCAAATACATACTCTTAACAAATTAGGGGCAGCATATTGCCAGAATGTTGGGGTTCTACCCCTTTTGTAAGTAACAAGAAAATGCGCTCTTACGTCCACACCCCATTCTCCTGAGCCAAATCCCAGTGGGCCGCCGCCCACTGAGTTCATCCATAAAGTTTTTAGTGACTGTCTCTGTGTACCTGTTATTCACAGTGCTCATGAGAGCTTTCTGAAAACAAGTGTCAACCATCACCCTCACGTTGAGTTAACGTCAGCTTGCAACCTCAGCAAAGAGCAGCTGTCAACATGTTGACAAACCTGCATGGATTAGTAAGCAAGGTTCAGTAATCTACAGAGGTTTACTTTGCAGTCTGATTATGTGACTGGTGGGTTGTTTTCCTTGGTTACTGTTAGACTGCTTATGCCCTTTTATCACCCAGTCTTCCCAGTCACAGAGACAGGGCAGATGTGGTGGTGGCATGAGTTGAGACTGAAGAACAGAGCAGCAAAACTGAGCCTGAGGAAAGTGAGGATGAATGTTGTTGAGAGAGGACTGCTGCAACACTCACAGTTACTACTCCTTCATCCTCCCATGTTGGGCTGAGGGCAGACTGTGACTCACCATCTCCTCTTTCAGTTACAGAGGCGGCCGATAGCCGGTTAGCACAGCGCAACTACATCTTTGACATGTGGTTAAACCTGTTTACAATCTTAGTACATTCATGAATGTTTTAAAAAAATAATTACATATAGCTCCTTCTAAATATAGATATATACATATGTACTAAAAAGTCCAAGTACACATTAAATAAGATGGTTTCTGTCATCTTTTTTCATTTTTTTTTTTTAAGTTTGGTTTTAATGAGTTATGAAGACAAGGTGAAACACTGCAATTGACAGCTAAGACTGACTAGCGATTGGTCAAATGGGAGTATTGACAGGACCTCGTTACCACGGCTCCATCCCCTAATCAAAGATGGCGGTGTTCGTATCTGCAAAGTTTTGGCTTAATTCCTTGATAGAGGAAGGAAGTAGAGGCGTGTCGTCCATCTTTATTTACAGTCTATGGTGCAGCACTACGAGTGACCCCTTAAAAA